GTAATTCTACGCGTTAATCATCTTTGAATATATTACTATTCACCACCCGATATTCGTAAAGCTTTAATTTCCATTACATGCCATACTCGTTATAATAATACGATTTCTACACGCTCGTTCCCGCGAATAATAAAAAATGGATCCGAAGATCGTTCGGAATTTTTGAATAAGAAACTACTCCGACTAGACAAGCAAGCGATTCTTTTTTATCCTTTTCCTTTTCTTCAAAAGCGAAATGCATTCGTTTTTTTTTTTTCTTTTTCTTTAATTTTTTTTAAATTACAAATGTTGCGTGCTATTTACAAAATCCTCCCCTCCTCCCTACGTGTCTTCGATATAATAAATTAATACCTTAAAGGATATATCGAGTTCTATCGAGTGATCACGAAATCTCGATTAATCGTTTCAAAAAAAAAGAAAAAAAAATGGAAAAGCAAAGAGATGACAATAAATCTTGTATAATACACTTTTGTTGTTGTTATTTACAACATTAGAATTACCAAACTGGTCATAGATTTTGCGTTATTTTAAAATTATTAAAATTGTGCAGATTGTTGCGTCGATATTAAAATTATATATCGATCTTGGAACAAAAATATAATTACATATGTGTATATCTAATTATTTTTATAAAATTATTTTTAAATCATTTACACGTAATATATTTAGGTATGTGTATATTATAGTTTGGTAGTCCTAGTGTTAAGAAGAAAAACGAAGAAATGAACGAAGGTTGATAAATAATATACGATGGATGGAAGAACGATAAAATGCAAAAATATCGTAAATCAAGGTTATTCCTCTTGAATATATATCCATATATATAACGTTCGTGATTTTAATCATCAGTTTCCCCCCTTCCCCCTCCCCTATTGAAGAATCCTCTTCGATACAAGGCATAAAATATATATCGCATATACTTATATTTAAATTATCGAGAAGATTATTTGCATTATGATTTATTGCTTTCAACGTTATGTATGATATTAATAATTCATAATACGATACGAAATGTTACCAAGGTCTTCGATTGCGTAATATTTTTTAATAAAATTTCAACGAATCGATGATATTTTTTAAACTCGGTTTAAAAAAAATCTGTTCAACTTTGCTACTTCCGCATCAATGAAGCAATCCAATACTGTATAATACTACTGCGACTTTGTGGTAATGCATCTTAATTATTGTCCTTTTCTAGTTCATCCAATAAAGGAATATCTAATCAAACGAACGTGATTGTCATCTATTGCATTAGGCCAATGCAAAAGTTTATTCGTTTCGCGATGATTTTTATCGCAATTAAATAATTTTGATCAATGTGAATATGAATATATTCAGTAAACAATTAAATAAAAAAAAAATTGAAACGTATTTCTAATTTTACTTTAAATTATTTAAGTCTAAAAAAAAAAAAAAAAGATGAACTTTTGCGTGAATCTAATATTAAGTTCAACGTTATTTCTATGTCTTCAGTCATAGTGTTGAATCGTAAGAAAATTTCCACTATGCGTTAGTTATTGAGGACCAGACACATTTTTTCAGTAAAAAAATTAAGAGAATTACTTAAGAATATTTTAACTTTGAAAAACGATCCAAAGAAATTTGAAATCCAGAATCATCCCTTTCCACATAAGTAGACACCTAATCCTCTTTCATAAAATCTTTCCCTACACCTAGCATCCCCCAATTAAAAATTACAATTCGAAATAAAATTAGAGAAAAGACTTATTGAAAAATATTTAACTTCGAAAAACGATCCAAAGAAATTTGAAATCCAAAATCATCCCTTTCCACATAAATGAAAGATACCTTTTTCACAAAATCTTTACCTGGCATCCCCCAATTAAAAATTACAATTCGAAATACGAAATAAAGTTAAGAAAAGAGTTACTGAAAAATATTTAACTTCGAAAAACGATCCAAAGAAATTTGAAATCCCTTTCCACATAAATAAATACCTTTTCTACAAAATCTTTTCCTAGCATCCCCCAATTAAAAATTACTACTTATCCTTATTAGGATAATCCCCGGAAAAAGATAATCGAAAGGAAAGAAACGATGGAGAATCCGGTCCCCGGATACAATAACCGAGACGCACGATCATTGGAATGGCAGAGGGACGATCACAGAGCGGTTTCCAAGGTCGGTACGCTGGGGCTACGCGCCACGCTCTGCATCGAGGTATTCTGAGGGGACTCGGACCTAGCGCGGAAAATCGTCTTCGCGTAAGCGGTGTTTGCCCCCCCTTGAGCGGGTGCCGTCGGCGTGCCGGCCAAGAACTGGGCCCTTGCGAGCTGATTGCTGATCCTCCTCGACTCGAAGGCGCTTATCGCCTGCTGGCACGAGGGAGTGAGCTGAGCGCAATTCACCGGATAAGGGATCGTCGACGCGGAATCGTCCGTGCAATTCTCCGTTTCTTCACCTCGGCCGTTGGGAGAGTCGGACGCTTCCGATTTCGAGCGATCAACGGCCTCGTTCAACGCCCTCCTCTCGTCGCACGCGACATTGAGGGGGATCGGCCGCTTGTCGGCGACTCGCGCCTCCTCGTCGGGCAGATCGTTGCAGAGATCGAGTTGTCGCCTCGCGTTCACTCTCGACACCGGCGAGGCGTTCTCGGGCGACGGTTTCATGGCTTTCTCCTCGGCCGCCGTGTCCTCGATGATCGTGGACGAGAGCACGTCCGTGCGCGGCGTTTGAAACCTCCATATCGAGCGCGGGCTCAGAACTTTGGCTAGGGACGCTGTTTGCTGGACACCGGACGACGATTGTTGCTGTTGTTGTTGGTGCTGCTGCTGCTGCTGCTGCTGCTGCTGCTGGCACTGCTGCCGCGATAACTTCAGCTGTTCGGCCGCCGACAGCCTCGCCGGCCCGGTCTTCACGCTTTGCTGC